TTTTTTTTTTTTTTTTTTTTGGCTGCAGCGGGAAGAAAGAAGAGCAGAACGCGAAATGGCTGGGGAAGAAGGATGAAAAAATACCCGGTCCTTATCCAAATTTCTACCCTTTTAAGTCCTTCAAGTTTGGAAATTTTGACTAATAAGCCCCTAAACAATCTTCCTCACAATCAAGTCCCTAACTAAGTGCTAAATATCACAAAATTTTGGGGTATTACATAAAATTATAGGCACACTTGACTTTAAAAATGCAGCATGCATGTTAAAAATTAAGCATTATAGAAGATTAAAAAGAAAAAGATAAAAATGAAGTGAATTTAGGTGGTTATAAATATTGAAAAGTTACTTTCACATTACCAAAAATCAATTAATATTTATTTTGTATAAGATAGAAGAGAATTTGATATAAATAGATGCAATTATATATATATATTGTGATACCCCAAAATTTTCTAGAATATTTAAGTGAGTTAAGGACTAAATTGTGGAAAAATTCTGTTTTGGGGTTTAATGGTAAAATATTCAAAAGTTGAGGGATTTAAAGAGGGAAAATAATTGGATAAGGATCAGTTTCTTTTCTTTTTCTTTTTCCTTCTTTTCTTCCCCAGCCATTTCCCGATTCTGCTCTTCTTCTTCTCGCTGCAGCTCCCGAAATCCCCCCTCCAAGCCGCCGGCACCAGCTTTGAAAAATTGGTGAGAAAGGTTGGAATTTCTCCTTCTTTCTTGTCTTAAAACACAGATTGAAACCCAGAAATTCTCCCCCCTGCAAGAAGCTTCCGGATCTGCTCTGCTCTTCCCTCTGCTGTCCGCCGGCTGCTCTTGTTGTGGGTGCAAATTCTGGGCTGTTTCGGTAAGAAATAGCCATTAAATTCTCTGTTTTTTCCTTGAATTAGCTTGGGTTCATGTTAAATCTAGCGTTTCTCCAGATTTTGGGTGAACCCGTGAGCTTTCCCTGCAGCTTGCCGCCGGCCTCTTCCCCCCTGCAGCTCCGGTTTCTACAGCTGGAGAATTATGGTATGTGGCAGCTTCTCTAAGTGCAAGTTTTAGCCATTTAATTGCTGCCCTTTGTGTCCGAAATTCTGGATTAATTAGGGGAGAAAATTGATAGTAATTAGACCATGATTTAGCATTAATTCAAGTGAGAATTATGTGATTGAGTGTTAATGGATTGCTGTGTGATTTTTGGAGAGAAAACCCCGTGATTAGCTAGTGGTTTGGCCAATTTTTGGAAGTGGGAGTTACTGTTCACGTCGTGGTTACTGTTCACGGGTACTGTTCACACCCCGAGGGCTAACAATTAACGGGGATTTAAATGATTAGTTTGTGATATGAGAACGATTTTGAAGATATTTGATCATGTGGAGATTTATGGAAATAGCATTGTGATTAGGAATGATCCTAATGATGAGTTTACCTTGAATTTGTAATAGTGTTATTAATTCTTGAAATATTTTGATTAGGTTTCCGATCGTTCTGTCAGTTAGTACTAAGATTGAGTGCTTGGTTTTATGCGAGTGAGGTAAGTAAATTTATGGTAATGCCTGTACTGTTTTTAAAAGCATGTTTTGATTTGTTTTTAAAGTGGTGGCGGGACTAAACTTGTTTTATACAAAAATGAGCATGATTGATTTGAAGTGAGGTTTCTATGCTTTTCATTAAATTGAGCATGCCTACTTGAAAGTTTAATTGATTGTCCTGATGATTTGAAAGTGATTGGTAAAGTATCATTTTTCTGTTAACTTTTGCCTATTTTGTCTTCGATGTGGTCATGTTATTAGTGACCCTGCTAGTGGAGGAGTTTATAAACGCTAGCACATGTCGGCACCTGTCGATATGTTATTGTAACCCTGCTAGTGGGGGTTAAACACTAGCACATGTCGGCACATGTCGATATGTTAGTGATAGAACCGGTTCGTACAAGTGACCCTTCTAGTAGGGATTATACACTAGTAAATCGTGTGCCTGTCAGTGGGAGGTTTATAACACTGGCCGTGACCTATAGAGGAGACGTCTATTTCGTTCCCGTACTCTATCTGTTTTGCGTGATTGCACAGGTTGGCATGTTATAAATTTAATAAGGGCACTCCATATTTACTTATTGAGTTTATCTCATAGTTTTTCCTTGTCCACCATTTCAGGAACCGAAACCGAGGACGGGGAAACCACGGGAAGTGACGAGTTAGAAGGCTAGCCATTTCGAGATTGACATAGATTTTAGAAATAAATCGTGATCTTGTAAGTTAGAGTGTATTTGGAGATTTTATGATATTAGAGCAAATTTTAAAGATTTGATCTTCAGATTTTGGTGGTATCAGATTGTGATATGATAAGTTTCGAGCCTTGTGCATTTGTGAGACTCTCTTACGAGTGCACGGCGTCTGCCACGTCCCCGAATTTGGGTTATGGGGCGTGACATATATATATTGTATAATATAGGAATATAATACTTCATATATTTCTTCTATTACAAACTTGACATATCACAAACACCTCATATAGTGGGATGGAAAAGATAGTTTTTTTTTTTTTTAAAAGATGAGTCCTAATCTCTTCCTTGTTCTTTCTTTCTCTCTCAACACTCCCTTGTTCTTCCTTTCTCTCACTTCATTTTGCTCATTTGATTTACTATTTTGACCTTAAAAGGTATAATATGAGACTCTAATAGTTTGTAACTTTTTGGTTGGTATAGGGGCAATTTCATGCTTCTTCCCATGTAAATTAACATTTTTATCTTTTAACTTTCTATGTAAAAAGCTTAAGTTTAAGTTATTAGTAATAGTTGATGGTTGATGTATACATTTAGATACTAGACTCACTCACAATTTTTCATTGATGTGAATTTGAGACGTTACAATTAGACTTGGCAAAAATCTACCTGACCCGTCAACTCGACACTAACTCGACCTATAAAAAATTGGTTGGAGTCTACATATCTCAACCCACAACTTGTAGATAACCCGTATTATCAATCCGTACAGGTCATGGGTCGAGTTAGGATCAACTTGCGGGTTGACGGGTTGACCCATTTGTTTTATTTATTATTATTATTTTTAAATAATATATTTATTATTCTTAATTAATTTTTTTATTGGTAACTCCTATTAATTCATACTCCCTAATTTCTAGAGAAAGAAGAAGAAATTATGATAAGTTTGATTTAATTACCCAAGTATCATTTTTTTTTTTTGGTATTAATAATTACCTAAATATCATGAATGAAATGATAATGCAACTAAAAATATTAAAAGATGTGATGTTAAGACATAAACATAATAACTTAGTGAAAGATGGTTTTGGAAGAGTAATTTCATCATTAAAAAAATGGATTAAACTACTTGATAATGTTTCAAAATGATTATAACATTAAAACTTTATTTTCCAAGAAATTTAAATATTTTACGTTTAATATTTTTATTGTTAATCAATTTATTATTATTTATAATTTTTTTATTTTTTTCTTAATTTAAATGTTTGTGATTGAAATTATAAAGTATTTAGTGTTAATAAATCATAATATTTTAATTAGATTTAGATATATATAATTTTATTTGTATATAATAAAATTAATAAAAAATAATTATAAAGAATGAAAATAAAGTTAACCCGCAGGTTAACCCACAACCTGTTTATAACCCAACCTGTATAACCCATCACTCGAGTTGACCCAACCTGAACTCGACCCAACCTGCCCGTTTGCCAAGTCTAGTTACAATTAAGGGATAAGAACAACCACCTCTAATAGAGATACTAATAAAAAAATTAAAAAAATTGTGAGGAAAACATATTAAAAGAAATTAAAACCGTCATTGTCGATAGCAGCCAAGTAAGCATTCTCATGTCAAGAGAAAAAGCCTTAATCCCGTTGCTTTATGACGCAGATAAATTGTTACAAATTTTAATTAAATAATTTGGAAACGTTATCATTTCATCGGTTACACATTCTTTTTGTAACCGACTGTTTACATTTGAAAATGAAAATTCAAATTAAAAGTTTTCAAAACTCATCCGTTATGAATCAGTTTTATATTAGCTAAGTAATATGCTTAATCGTTTCATTTAACTATTTTGAATTCTATGAACATTTTCTTTTGATTAGTTGTTGCAAATAAATTTGTAGCATTTTGACATGAAGGATTTGTGTGAACCTTATGTGATTCTTGGCATGAAGATAACTAGAAATGATAATGGAAATTTTCTTGATTAATGCCATTATATAGAAAAAAATAGTTAGTGCCATTATATAGAGAGAAATATTGAAAAAACAAATACAATTATCATAATTCTAGGCATGTAACGATGCCTTTATCACCCAATGTCCATTTATATCCCACTTTGCATGATGAAGGTATTCTCAATCAAGAGGAATATACTATTATCATTGGTAGTTTATGGTATTTTACTTACTATACAAGATTTGATATTTCTTATGTTGTTGAAAATCTTGGGAGATTTACTAGCAAGCCTAATTCCTCTCATTGAGATTGTGTTAAACCCCTAATGAGACATTCATGTACTACCAAAAATACCCTATTATACTTGAAGGATTTTATGATGCCAATTGGAACACCTTGTTAGGTCATCTTTATCTATTTCAAGGTACATCTTTAAGATAGGTTATGGTGTTGTGAGTTGAAAATCTAAAAACTAACAACTAATTGCAAAGTTAATTATGGAGACAAGGCTAATCTCATTAGCATTGGTTTCTGAGAAAGCTAGTTGGTTAAAAGACTTGTTGTTGGAAGTTTCTTTATGGGAAAAACTAGTGCCTCCTATTCTTGTTTACTGTGATAGTATTGGTGCCATTTACAAAAGGAATAGCCATTTTTATAATAGAAAATCTAGGTCCATTTGAAGGAAACATGTGAGGTCCTACTTGAATTATGAGATAATCCATGTGGATTGGATTATACAATCAAGTGAAAATATTGTTAATGCATTTACAAATATATGGCCAAAGAGAAGATCTAGATCACATCGAGGGAAATGGGTTTGAAGCGCAAAGAATGTGGAATTATGAAACTTTTTATGAGGATACCCAACCAAATGATCAAAATTCCTAAGAATTTGGGTTTCAAATGGGACAAACGAATTATAGAGAGGTTAATGTTGAAAGAAACATTAAAAGTTATGAGAAAAAAAGAAGAAGAGAGATACACCCTTAATGAAATTTGCAGCTCATTGAGTGGGGTGTCTTAGTTATAGGAGCTCATTTCACAAATTTCACTTATATGGATGTCGAAGTGGACCTATTCTATAGCACATCCATGAATACTAATATTAGGTACAAAGGCCATAATAATCATGCTTACTAAGCTCAAATTGATACTTGGATTGTCATGTGTGAGATTTGGTATCTTATATCCTTTGAATAAACCTAGTTCAAGACTTTGTCACTGGTGACTTTGGCATCAATGACTCATTAAATAAAAGTTAGGCATTACTCCTCTACTATGCATAATAGTCCATTTTCGCCTATATTTTCCATTTCTTAAAATCTTAACCTTTTAATTAAAATGGAGGAGGAACGTTGAAAATTTTAATTAAAAAATTTAGAAACGTTGTCCTTTTATCAGCTACATGTTCATTTCGTAACTGGTTGATTGCATTTAAAAAAAAAAAAAAATTCAAAGTGCAAGTTTTCAAAAATCGTCAGTTATAAATCACATTTTCTATTGCTTGAGTAATGTGCTTAGCCATTTCATTTAAAAAGTTTGAATTCTATAAACATTTTCTTTTAATCAGCTATTGCAAATAAATTTTATATCTTTTTGGTGACATTGTTCTACTTTGCACTTTTTCATCTTTAATTAATTGCTTTTACTAATCTTTTCTTTACTTAATTTTCTATTTTTCATCTGAAAGGAACAGCATAGATAATAGGATTCAGTGGGATGGGATTTTTAATCAATTTAATTATAATATTTTTAAACATTACAGTTTGATTAATTAAAAAATTAATCCCTTCCTTCCCCTTCCCTCAAACCAAACATATCTTAGTAAAAATATCATAAAAAACTATTGTTTAAAAATAGATATATTGTAATACCCCAAAATTTTGTGCTATTTTAGCATTTAAGTAAGGGTTTTGTGTGAGAAAATATTGTTTTGGGCTTAATAGCCAAAAGTTCAAAAGCTGAGGGACTTAAAAGTGGAAGAGTTTTGGATAAGGATCAACTTCTTTTCTTTCTTTCTTTTCTTCCTCCTCAGACCCGATTCTGCTCTTCTTCCCGCTACAGCCCGAGAGGAAAAAGGAAAGAGAACCCAGCCATGCCTTTGAGAAACCGGTGAGATAAGCTTGGTTTTCTCCTTCCTTTCTTGTTCTAGAACACACCTAGAACCCAGAAATCTTCCCCCCCCTGCTGGAAAAGCCGGATCTGCCCTGCTCTGCTTTGTCCTTCCGCCGGCTGCTCTTGATTATGGGCGATTTCTGGGCATTTTTTCGGTA